ACTGAAGGAGGCCTTCCTGCTGGAACTGCAACAACGAATGTTTTTCGCCACCCCAAATATAGAGAGTTAATGAAGGGTATCCAATCCCAAAGTTGCAGCCCTGATGAAGTGATTTTCGGGTCTGATTTTCATGAATCATTATACTGTCATCTCCTGTGTGGCTTACTAAACTACAACGACGTCCAAATCATTTCATCAACATTTGCTCATAGCCTTGTTCAAGCATTTCAAACATTTGAACAAGTTTTGGAAAATCTTTGCTTTGATATTCGCTTTGGAAGTTTGGATGAGAAAGTCACTGATCCAATTACTCGTGCTGCTATGTCCAAACTGCTAAAGCCTAACCCTGAGTTGGCTGACATGATTATTGAAAAATGCTCGGGTTTAAGCAAATGGTATGGCCTTATACCAGAGCTTTTCCCAAATGCTAAGTATGTTTATGGGATAATGACAGGCTCTATGGAGCCTTACATTAAACAATTAAGGCGGTATGCTGGGTGGTTGCCTTTGGTCTGTGCTGATTATGGGGCTTCAGAAGGCTGGATTGCAGCAAATGTCAACCCAAGATCACCTCCTGAAGAGGCCACCTTTGCTGTTCTTCCAAACATTGGATACTTCGAGTTCATTCCTTTGAACGAGACTAGGAATGGAGGTGCTGAACCAAAACCTGTAGGACTAACTGAGGTTAAACTTGGGGAAGAATATGAAATCATCCTCACCAACTTTGCAGGTATGATAATCCTTGTAATTATTTTTATTATGGTGTACAAACCGATATTAATGCTACTTCACTTGTTTTATTCAAATCCGGCTAATTACTTATAAAGACCGTACGTGTCATCCCCATTATGGCCATTAGACATTACGAGTAGTTGTCTAACTAGTTACACAAATAGACTTGTCGCGTTATTTGGTTACTCTGGGACCAATTCTTTTGTTGTATTTCCTCAAAATTTAGAATTTAGCATTTTGTTGATTTTGAAGATATTAGGCTGATAGCAAACAGCCTGTAGAAAAAGGGTTTATGCTCACTAATCATATTTCCACTATAAAGATCAAAGTCATTTATAATGTTCAAACACAGTACATACACTTGGACACTTACGTTTGGTTAGAGAATATATTGGACTAGTCACTCCAAAACATAAAGAAAACCTTATATTATGCATCTAATCTAGATTCTAGATCTAGTTTAAATTCACGGACCATAGTATATTTGTCAAATTTAATCATCTTTATGTGGGAATATCATAGTCTGATGATGTCTTTGTCCAATAGCATGTTGTTGTTGCTTACTGGTGGAATCATAGTCTGAATTCACTTTACCAAAATTTTCCTGCTAGTTTTGATTAGCCTCCTATCCTTATTCAGGATCCCCTGCTTAGTTGTGCTCTGTATGGTGCAGCCAGAGGAAGATGGGGCCACAACGGTCGGGTGGGTTCCATTCTTCCCTTGTCATCACATAATAAATTCTTTCGTTTTACTTTTTGTGTACCATATATATGTCACTTATTTTAATTTGTCCATTTTAACGTATATGTGAATTTTAATAGGAAAGTGGTAGACTTGTAGGTCATAGGACTATGATATCAACCAACAAACTAGATTGCGGAATGACACACAGATGGTACACAAAAAATGGGATCGAAGATTTGTGTAGCATAGTGCCTTGCACATTACAGCACAGGATAGTAACAGTTAGAGTGCAGCCATTTCTTTAGTGGAGACCTTTATTATCCCAAAGAAGTCTAACATAATAATGTATAGCCCATCAAAAGCTTCTACAAGTTGATCAAAATAATTTATGAAAGCGCAGTATTATTAGTGTATGATTCTTGGAAAGATGCTTTGAAAGAAGTAAAATATTCCTTAAACCTTGTCTAAAATATACTTATCCAGCTGTGAATTCTGACTTTTTTGCTATGCTTTTTTTTATTTTTTCTCTCAATTCATGATCCAAGCTTATGATTTATTTATTGGTTGATGAATAATCTAAGTTTGTTTTCTTGTCAATTTCAAGTCAACATCAATTTCCTAGATATATTGTTGATATTTTAGTTCATAACATACTTTAAAAAAATGCTCAATGTCCCTATTATACTTGCAGGCTTATATCGTTACAGGCTAGGAGATGCTGTCAAGGTAATGGGCTTCCACAACTCCACTCCTGAGCTGAAATTCGTATGCCGTCAGAACCTTATGCTTAGCATCAACATCGACAAGAACACCGAGAAAGATCTACAACTCGCCGTGGAAGAAGCAAGCAAGTTACTGATAGCCGAAAAGATAGACCTGATTGATTTCACAAGCCATGTAGATGTAACCAAAGAAGTAGGCCACTATGTCATATTCTGGGAGCTAAGTGGTGAACCTGATGAAAATGTTTTGAAGGAGTGTTGCAACTGCTTGGACCGATCTTTTGCTGATGCCGGGTATGTGAGTTCGCGCAAGGTTGGAATGATTGGACCACTTGAGCTTCGGATTGTGAGGAAGGGAACCTTCTATAAGATACTGTTGCATTGCTTGAGCATGGGGAATACTCTTAACCAGTTTAAGACACCAAGATGTGTTGGGTCTAACAATAAGCCACTCTTACAAATTGTGTGTAATAATGTTGTTGAAAGTTATTTTAGTACTGCATATTAGTAATTTAGAGTTATGTGTATCATCATCATTCATCAGTGTATGTTTTTAGTAAATGTTGCTTAATGTTTTTCTCAATGATAGAATGGAAGCTAAGTTTTATTATTTGGTCTTCCATGTTCCCTTTTAGCCCTATTTTATTACATTGAAATTATTTTAATGGTCAAAATTGTGTTTTGGCATGTATGTTAATAAAACTGTTGCAATTATTATAAAACAAAAATATTATTTAATACATGGATAATAATTGTATATATTGTTCCTTTTTGGCTGGATTCAATTGGATGAATTTTTGGCAATGTAAATAATTTTAATGACATTTAATGTAGGTAGAGTGATGAGGTGGACTCTTTCTTGAAGTAGACTATCTTTGGTAATGTAAATTATTGGGAAGATTTTTGGTAAAACTTAATCCATCCCTAACATGCTTATAAATAAATTGTTAATTAAAGAGTGGAACATACACAAAACTATTCCTCCTATTTTCTCTCCTCTCTAAATATTTCTTACTTGTTTAAATTGCAGTCACTTTTTGCTTTGAGTGCGCAATTTAAAGCATCATTGTCTTTTTTATTCTATCATGTCAGACTATCAGGGCAATTTTGTTTATAAGGTACTCAGTTTATTATTATTATTTTTTGAAAGAAGGTACTCTCTTTGTTTCATTAACATTAAAGTGATTAAATTGTGATTTTTTATTTGGTTGATTCTAAATAATTTTTTAATTAGTCTTAATTGTACCTCTTATATTTATGAACATGACATATGGAGTATCATTTCTTTTATTCCAGTTTACTTTGAGAACGGTAGCAACATTTTTCAAATATTTGGCAATAGTGCATAGGATTATTAAAGTGTAGGGCCTGTCAAATAATATTCTCCTTAAAGAATCATATATTATTAAAAAAAAATATGATCATTACTAAACCTCAACCCTCAGGATAGGGATCAATGATCCTTGCCCCAAGTACAATCTCATGACCTCAATGTTTTTGGATTCCCTAACCAACTTCGTAATTTAGCCTTGCTTGGCAACTTATTTAGGGAGCACTTGTAAAAAGAACAAAGTTTGAATGCTTTTCATGATATGAGATCAAATTCTCACTTATACTAGTCTATAATTATTGCACAAGTTTTGGGCTTGGAGTCATGTCTTATTGCACAAGTTTTGGGCTTGCAATCAAATCTTTATTTTTTAAAACTTCAATCAAGTCTGTAATTATTGCACAAGCTCTTAACATTTTTGATCCTATTAATCCAATTTCGATTTGGGCTTGCAATCATGTCTGTAATTATTGAACTAGTTTTGTAAAAGATTCACATTTATAGTCTGTAATCAAATCACATATTTTTTCATTGATAGTTTGTAGCCATTTAAGTAGTTTTCCCATGCTTCATTTCATATTATAATAAAGTATTTTGACCATTAAATGAGTTTTCTTCCTCTCCAGCACATGATTACTCATATGATAGTTTTTTTTTTTTTTTTGTTTAACCATTAAACGAGTTTCACCCTGCTTCAATTCACATTATTATAAAGTTTGGAGAGCATCAAAATGAGTTTTCCCCCTGACCATTACACGAGTTTCACCCATGCTTCAATTCACATAATTTTTCAGTATTGTAGCCATTAAATGATTCTTCCCTCTCTTCGTCACATGATAGTTTTCTAACAATTAAAAAAGTTCCACCCATGCTTCAAATCACATAATTTTTCAGTATTGTAGCCATTAGATGAGTTTCTCCATCCCCTTTCCCCCACTTCAAATTATATTATTTTCCATTGATAGTTTCAAACCAGCATCAAATTAAACGAGTTTCACCCTTGATTCAATTCACATTTTAATTAATTTTGTAACCATTAAATGAATTTCTCATCTTCAATTCACATTATGTTCGTTGATAGTTTTGTAAAAATTGCATGCTTTTCACCCCATTTTCAATTCTCCTTTTTTCATTGATAGTTTATAATTGTTGCTCGATTTTCTACCCCTCATCACTTCACTTTCCCCGTTTTCCTATGCTTATAAATGAATTATACTTTAGAGTACGAAAAATACACAAAATTGTTCCTCTTCTATTCTCTTAAAAATTCTCCACTTAATCGAGCATTTGTGAGTTTATCCTCTTTTACTTAAGTGCACAATTCGCTAGATCATTTGTTAAATCTTTAGAGGCAATACCTCTTTATGATTTAATGATGTCAAACAATCAAGTCAATTTTGCTTATAAGGTACTCTCTTCGTCCCATCAAGCTAAGACTAATAATACAATTATTTGTTGCTCATTTAAAATAAGTTTTTACATTGTCCTAACCATACCTCACATATTTAGGAATACGACATGTCCAAAATACAATGCCAGATATAGAATTATGGACTAGTAAAAAAGTCTTAAAAGTGGTAACTAAAACTTTAAGGGGTGCGTTTGGTATAGATATTATTGAAAATGGAGTGGAAAGGAAACAAATAAGAGGGAGGAAAAAAATTATTTAATACTTACCTTTCTATTTGTTTGGTTTAACCATGGAAATGAATCATTTAACCCTCCTTTTCTTTTTGTTGAGGAGGGTAAGGGTAATTGTTACCTTAGATTTTAAAGAGGTAATGATAATTGTTACTTAAACCTTCTAACCAAACATTTAGTAATGGTAATGATTTAATTGAATCCATTCTAACCCCAAAAAACACTATAACCAAACATGCTCTAAGATAAAACCCCGTCTACATAATTTACCACTCTCCATAACGAACCAGCTAAATATTGCTTTTTATACCTTCTTTAAGAAATTACTCACTTTTTGTTTAGAACAGTTAACTTGATGACTGAAACTAGAATGACTTATTTGACTTACTATTAATATTATGTAGGAAGGTGGTGAGGAAATATTGAAAAAAAATGAAGGATTTGACTCAGAGAACGTGATAAAAAATGTTGAAGTATTGAACAAGAATGCAGGAAATGAAGAATTTGACCCAGATAAATATATCAAAGAGTTTGAAGAATTAAGCAGGAATGCAGGGAAAATACAAGAGGAAACACTAAGGAAGGTACTAGAAGAAAACGCCTCAGCCGAGTACTTGCTAGAAGTAGGCCTTAATGGAAGAGCAGACGAGGAGAGTTTTAAGCAACGTGTTCCTGTTGTAACTCACAAGGATTTGGAACCCTATATTCAAATGATCATCAAAGGAGAAACAAGTCCTATTCTTACTGGAAAACCTTTTACTTCCTTTTCTGTTAGGTAATTAATTTTGTTCCTTTCAAAATTTCTTTTTATGCATCTATGTTAGGGTTGGGATTCAAGTAATGATCAAGAGGATTTTACTGTGTTTTTATTTTTTATGATGTTTTGTTGGTTTATTTTCATAGCTCTGGAACGACTCAGGGAAAACGCAAGTTTGTACCTTTCAATGATCAACTCTTTGATAATACTATTCAACTCTTTCGTACTACTTTTGCTTATCGGAACAGGTAAGGCCCCGTTCTTTTGGACTGAAATTTTCTAAACTGAACAGAATTGAAATACAATCAATTTTTAGTGTTACTGTATTAATTTTCTTTTTCATTTGAATTAGGCTAACATTTTGATCTCGTATTTAAAAACTTTTAGATTTTGACCCAATTCCTGTACCCATTGGCCTACCCCGTCCAATAACCAAGTCTATCCATAAGAACTCGAAACAAGTAATTCTAAAGCTAAATGAAACAAACAAGTTGTTGCATACTTAGTGTTAGTGACTTAATTTTTGTACAATTTGTGTGTTTGGTTGCAGAGAGTTTCCTATAAAAAATGGAAAAGCATTGATGTTCCTTTACAGTAGCAAACCGTTCTTAACTGAAGGAGGCCTTCCTGCTGCAACAAATGTTTGCCACCACCGCGGATATAAAGATTTACTGAAGAACATTCGTTCACAAAGTTGCAGCCCTGATGAAGTCATTTTCGGGTCTGTTTTCAATGAATCGTTATACTGCCATCTTCTGTGTGGCTTATTGAGCTACAACGAGGTTGAAAGTATTTACTCAACATTTGCTCATAGCATTGTTCAAGCTTTTGAAACATTCGAACAAGTTTGGGAAGATCTTTGCTCTGATATCCGATTTGGAATCTTGAACGAGAGAGTCACTGACCCAAATACTCGTGCTGCTATGTCCAAACTGCTTAAGCCTAACCCCGAGTTGGCTGACATGGTTACTAGAAAATGCTTGGGTTTAAGCGAATGGTATGGCCTTATACCAGAGCTTTTTCCGAATGTTAAGTATGTTTATGGGATAATGACGGGCACTATGGAGCCTTACATTAAACAATTAAGGCGGTATGCTGGGGGATTACCTTTGGTTTGTGCTGATTACGCGGCTTCTGAAGGATGGATTGGGGCAAATATCAACCCAAGATCGCCTCCTGAAGATGCCACCTTTGTTGTTATTCCGAACATAGCATACTACGAGTTTATTCCTTTGAAGGAGGCTATGAATGGAGGTGCTGAACCAAAACCTGTTGGACTTGCTGATGTTAAACTTGGTGAAGAGTATGAAATCATCCTCACCAATTTTGCAGATATGATTAATCTTTGTAATTGTTTTTATATATATATTTTAAAGTTGATATTTATTCAAGTCCGGCCAATTTCCTAACAGAGGATATTGATAGTTAAACATCCATATGGCCTTAGGTGGAGAACCTTTTTTTTTTTCATCGATCACAATAGATAAAAATGAAGTATAGTACGAAGCATCAGTGAATCATTCTTTGAAGATGTTTCAAGATTATACTTTATTTGATGAATAATAATCAAAGGTTTTATATTGTCTATTTGAGTCAATATATATATCAACTTCTTGTATTGTTGACACCAATTTCGTTCCCTATTATTATTGCAGGTTTATATCGTTACAGACTAGGAGATACTGTCAAGGTAGCAGGCTTCCATAACTCAACTCCGGAGCTCAAGTATGTATGTCGTCAAAACCTCATGCTTTGCATCAACATCGACAAGAACACTGAGAAAGATCTACAGGTGGCCGTAGAAGAAGCAAGCAAGTTATTGGTAGCAGAAAAGGTAGACGTGATTGATTTCACCAGCCACGTTGACTTAACCAAAGAAGTAGGTCACTATGTCATATTCTGGGAGCTAAGTGGTGAACCTGATGAAAATGTTCTAAAGGAATGCTGCAACTGCTTGGACCTATCATTTGTTGATATAGGGTATGTCATATCGCGTAAGGCAGGAATGATTGGACCACTTGAGCTTCGGATTGTGAGGAAGGGAACGTTCAATAAGATACTGGTGCATTGCTTGAACATGGGAAATACTCCTAACCAGTTTAAGACACCAAGATATGTTGGGTCTAACAATAAGCCCCTCTTCCAAATTGTATGTGATAATGTTGCTAAAAGTTACTTTAGCACTGCATATTAATGAATTAGAGTGATGTGTTTCATCATCCATAATAAGTGTATGTTTCAAGCAAACTTTGCTTTATGTTTTTTCTCAATGACAGAATAAAACTTTTGTTGTTTATTGCGTGATTTCTGTTGCATTCATATAAAACTTGCTTCCATTGATTCTCAAGAGTTTTTTCTCATGGTAAAAAATCAAAACATACCAAGATGGGCTGCATAGGCTATTCACTATCACATGGGTTGTACTATACAAGGCATATTGCACACTACAATTCATGGGCCGAGTCATCTCAAATTCTAAGAAGTATAAGTGTACTTAATTTAATTTTTATTAATTGATACTTGACGTTCCAGTTTTTCGTGACACATATGATGCTAAGTAATCGATTTTTGGATAGATTTTATAAGATAAAATTATTGCATAGAGTTTTATTATCGATAAAATTTTAATATTTCATATATACAAAATTAATCACAACTTTTAATAAATATCCTATAACTCAATTCTATTTCCATCATCAAATTCGTTTTAAAAAGTTCTTTAAAATAAGATCCATTTAAAATATATTTAATCACAAACATTTATACGTAGCTGGTCAAACCGTGTCGCCAACTATTACAAGATCAGAGTTACTTCGTCAATGCTATAGGGGTTACTTGGTCAGTGTTATAGTGGTTACTCAATCAGTGTTATAGATAAGGGTTACTTAGTCAGTGTTAGAGGTTACTCAGTTAGTATTACAGGAGGTTACTCGATCAGTTTTATAGGGGTTACTTTGTCCGGTCAAATGGTGTGGTTAGCCGCATACAAAATGCATTGTTATATATTTAATTTATTTAAAAAAAACATTAGAGAATCAGTAAATAAGTTTTAATCAATAAAAATAATTTTAGTTTGGTAAAAATACTTTCATTTCAGTGAAAATAATTTAAGTTCTATAAAAATGATTTGAAGTCAATAATAACATAGATATCTATTTACAAACAAAACTATACAAAGTACACTCTGATTAGGGGATTTTTATCCACCAATCACCGTCTGACAAGTGGACCAACCAGGTTCCGCCACGTGTCTTTCACGTAGGCCAATAGGAGCCTGCCACGTGTCAATTACAGATTCGTCCTCTGCGGACCAATTGAGACACGCCACGTGTCCACCCATGCCAAATGGGAAAACCGGCCACCAAGGCCCAATCCTGTTTAGAGGCCCGGTCAGCCCTAGGTTTACCCTAAACCTAGAGAGTGGCACGCTTCTCAAGACTATAAATACTCCTCTTAATCCTCATTAAGAGAGAGAGAACTCGAATAACACACGGATTATACATTAAACACTCTCACCTAGAGAGACTAAACCACTTTAATTTCTGTATTAATTACTCCTTAATCAGGTACTAACTTGACCGTTGGAGGCGGAGCTTTCAGGAGTCTCCGTTATTTTGCAGGTACAGGCGGCCGGTTCCAGTCTCGGTGTTGTAACTCTCCCGCAGGACATCAGAAAACCCCGAAACATTTGGCGCCGTCTGTGGGGAGAGTACTTCTGAGATGGCATCCAAGTCTGTACCGACTCCTGAAGAGAGACGTCCCCTAAACGACCCTCAAGTTCAGTCGGACCATGACACCGAAAGTGAATTTGAAGTGGAAACTCATACAGCTCCAGACGGGACCCTAAGGGCCCGACGTACCCGTCATACCGAAAGGAGGGAACGGGAGCATCTTCAAACAGGAAGCGAGCCAGCAGGCGCACCGCCTGCTCGGCAACAGCCGACTGATGGGTCTGCTCCCATCACAAGGAACGAACTCATGACCTTCATGAGGGACTTCAAGGGAGAGATTCAAGAGTTGATCAACAAAAAGTCGCCTGCTTCAGTCAAAGAGCAGTCGGCCAAAAAACCTTCCACTTCACTGAAGAGGAAGCCAGTTCAAGGGCGAGAGGCGACTCCTCATCCTAAATCCAAGAAGCGGGAGCCACCTGCTCTTGATTTCACAAAATTCCGTTATCCTACGGGAAATAGGAAACCTGTTCGTCACATTCAGGCGAACGGGTCGAAGAAAACATACACAGACGCTCGTCTGCTGTTAGAACAGAAGAAGAGTGACCGACTGTCAGAGTCGGCCTCTACTTCAAATTTTCAAGAAAGTTTACAAAATACCTCGATGAGGCATACCCAGTCGTATCATGAGAGTCAGTCAGGCGGCACCTCCCGTCAGTCAGGCTTTCATAGCGACCAGGCGGTACCAAACCTACCGTTTGTACCGCAACAACAGTATTTTATGCAGCCACCTCCATTTGGCGGACCTGCAGCAAAAAACGTCCAACCTATGGACTGGCAGCTACGGTTGCTTAGACTTGGTGAACAGCCGTCGGCCTTCTCCAAGGAAATTACTGAAGCCGCTCAGCCGGCCAAAGTAAAAAATGTACTAGTAGGCGCCTATGACGGCACTACTAACCCAGAAGACCATCTGATGGCATTCACCAACCTGATGTACCTTCAAGGGTTGGATGATCCCACTTGGTGCAAGTGTTTCCCAGCGACTCTCAAGGGAATCGCACAGCAATGGTTCGGCAACCTGCCGACTGGTTGTGTAAACAGCTTCAGGACGCTTGCTTACTTGTTTGCCTCCAACTTCGCCATGAACATCCCTGCGAAGAAAACGACCCTTGATTTGGGAACAATTCAGCAGGGCGAGAAGGAGGGGCTTCGTTCTTACATCAGGCGGTTCAACCTGATGAGAATACAGATTCAAGGGTTACCGGATGAGGTAGCTTATACTGACTTTTTTAGAGGTCTCAAAGACGGGTCTACCTTCAAATTTGATTTAGTTCGAAAAAGGGTGGCGACTCTTCAAGAGGCCTTGATTGAAGCAGAAGCATATATACAGGCGACTGATCTGTGTACGATAAAACAGTCGGACGGGAAAAGGTTCGACAAAAGAGAAGGACGACAGAAACAGTCGTCTAACAAAGATGAGAAAAGAAAAGAGGTCTGGTCGGCTGATTCCTCTAAACAGCCGGCCCAGAAAAAGAAAAAAGAATTCAAACCATACTCCCCAAAGTATGTGTTTAACAAGGATAACCAGTTTATCCTAAAAGAAATAAAGGGACGGTTCTCAATTGAGAAGCCGGTCCCCATGAAGGGTTCTGCAAACAACCGGAACCAAGACAAAATCTGTGCTTATCATGATGACGTTGTTCATCACACCAATGACTGCATCAGTCTCATGCGGTACCTAGACCGCTTGGCTGAGCAAGGTGATCTTGACACTTATGTCAAGAAATCTACGGGGAACACTTCCTCCAAAAAGCAGTCGGCCAAAAAGAATCAACAGGCCGACAGTTCTGATACTGATGAAGCAGTCGTCTACACCATTGCAGGCGGCTTCTCAGGAGGCGGCCCCACTATTAGGGGCAACAAAGATAATATAAGGCGGTTAGATGTAAATTCCGTTCACCAAGAACGGCCGTCCAAATATACATTTCCTGAGATTGTCATCACTAAAGAGGATCTAGGAGGGGTAAGGGGGCCGCATGACGACCCTCTCGTTATTGAATGTAAAGTGGCCAACCAGAGAGTTGGCCGAATCCTCATAGATACCGGGAGCTCCTCAGATCTCATCAGCAGCAAATGTCTGTCAAAACTGAAATATCAGACGGACTGCATACATCCGGCCTCTCACCCTTTAATAGGGTTTGGAGGAGGAGTCGTCCACCCACTGGGACGAGTAGATTTACCCATTCGCCTGGGCGAAAAAGGGGAAGGACGACACATGGTAGTCCGGTTCCTAGTAGTAGAGGAACTCTCGGCCTACAACATGATTCTGGGTCGACCAACCCTGAATAATTCCAAGGCTGTTATAATCCCGTCTCTTATGCTGCTTAAGTTTGAGAGGGATAATGGAACAGTCGGCTCCCTAAGGGGAGATCAGAGGATGGCCCGAGAGTGCTATCTCTCGGATGTCAAGCCCACTGTTATGGCCACTGGGTCAAGTGGAGAAAAAACAGACCTTGACAATGTCAAGGAGAGTGCGCCTGTTCAAGAAACAGGCGACAAAAAGAGAAAGGCGTCCCAGACAGAGTCCGCAAGAAAAGCAAGAAAATAGCAATCATTGGCAGAGGAGCGGCCGGATGAGTTCCGCCCTCAGCCGGCTGGTGAGCATGCGGACCTGATCTTAGACGACTCACGTCCTGACCGAACAGTCAAAGTTGGGACGACTGCTCTGAGAAACCTTGGTGACGACTTTCACAACCTATTGAAAGAATACAAGGACATCTTTGCATTTGAAGTCCATGAAATGCCAGGCATTAGTCCTGATCTGGCAGTACATAAACTCGCTGTGGATCCGAAAAAGAAGCCGGTACGGCAAAAGAAGCGGAACCATGGAGAAGAAAGAAGTCAGGCGGCAGCCACCGAAGTTAAAAAATTACTTGATGCAGGGTTCATTCGGCAATGTTACTTCCCAGACTGGGTTGCAAATGTGGTTCTTGTTAAAAAGCCAAATGGTACCTGGCGAATGTGTGTAGACTACACAGACTTGAATAAGGCGTGCCCCAAAGACAGTTACCCTCTGCCTAAAATTGATAGCCTGGTCGACTCAACAGCCGGCCATGCTTTGATGAGCTTTATGGACGCCTACTCTGGTTTCCATCAAATTCCTTTGTGGAAGAAAGATCAGGAGAAGACGGCCTTCGTCACTGATCAGGGGTTATACTGTTACACGGTCATGCCGTTTGGTCTTAAGAATGCCCCGGCCACCTTCCAACGTATGATAAACACTGTGTTCTTTGATCAACTTGGGAGAAATGTCGAGGCATATATTGATGATATGATTGTCAAGTCTAAACTTCAGACAGATCATCTGTCGGACCTCCGAGAAACTTTCGCCACACTCAGGCGGCACCATGTCATGCTCAATCCCAAGAAATGTGTCTTTGGAGTTGAGTCTGGGAAATTTCTCGGATTTCTCATTAATCAGAGAGGAATAGAGGCGAACCCTGAGAAGGTGCAGGCGGTCATCGACATGCAGTCGCCACGTACCGTCCGAGAGGTTCAGAAGTTAACAGGTTGTCTGGCGGCCTTGGGAAGATTTCTAAGCCGATCAGGCGACAAATGCCTATACTTT